TTTCTTAATACAATTTAATACTTTGCTTTTCAATATTTAATTAACAAATATACTTCATTATTTTATAATTATTTCTTCTGTGTTTTAATTTGTTTACTTGTGATAAAATTGCCAGGATAGCAAACGTAAATTCACAAAAATAAAAAACTAAAGAATAAAAAAAAGTTCTTTTTCCTTTTGTAGCCTACACCTCAAAAAATAACATTACATTACATTAAAAGAGTAGAGAGGTCTGTATATGCACAGACTTTACCTCTAAGAAATTAGAAGTGTTGAAATTGAAATTAGAAGAGGAAGTGATAGTAAGTAGGGAGGGAAAGGAAATAGGGAAAGATTGAAGGGAAGTGTCGGATCATTGATCGTCTGCATCAGAATTGTTGAACAAGTAAAATACAGTGACAAGACAAAATATGTTCAGTAAACAGTATAAAAACAAACATGACAAGTTTGCGCGTGCGAGTGAATGTGTACAGCAAAGGTGGGAACAGATACAAAGTTTCAACAATTACAAAGTATGCTGTAAATTGGGTTGACAAAGAGATCCTCAAAAAATAACAGTCTTATAGCGGAGTCAAACTTTATTTAGAGGACACTGGTCGCCTTAACATGCAAAGTTACAAAACTTCTCTTGGTGACGGTACAAGTCTTTTATTTTTGTGAATTTACGTTTACTGTCCTGGCAATTTTATCACATGTATATTATATTTTTTATATTTTTACTCGTGCCGTCACCAGAAGGAAGTTTTGTAGCGTTTTTTATATTGAGGAAGACGAGTAGCTTCTAAATAAGGTCGACTCCGTCGTAAAACTTATTTTCTAAGATGTGAGAAAGGAAAAAAGATTTTTTTTATTGTGGATTTTTGTTTACTTGTATCAAGTTTTTTTAAAAAACAAATATTTTTGTGCTGAAACATCTAACTGACCCAGTTCATTAACTGATGCAATAAAAGCATAAAGCAAGTATATACAGGATAATTATAAACGGATTATATATATAAATTCACCTATTTTTAACTTGTCAAACTTCCTTCCCTGCAATCTCTTTTCATCCGAGGGAAGAGGAAGAAGTCGCAAGGTGTCAGGTCTGGTGAATAAGCAGAATGTGGAAATGGACCACCTTACAGGACTCCTAAAACAACTGGGTCATTTTGGCTGCGTGTTCGGGAGCATTATCATGATGGATCATGATGTGTAACTTGGATCTTGGACAATGTATTCAGGTTTGTTCTAGCGCTCAGGCAAAGCCCGAGTTGCTTTATGAAATTAGAAAAAGGGCACAGGTTAAAATTTAAAAAGAAGACATTTATAATTCTTNTAAGCAGAATGTGGAAATGGACCACCTTACAGGACTCCTAAAACAACTGGGTCATTTTGGCTGCGTGTTCGGGAGCATTATCATGATGGATCATGATGTGTAACTTGGATCTTGGACGTTCGTCTTCGAATAACTGAAGCACTTTTCGCAAGCAAACATATGAATATCGTTTCCTGCTCACCTTACACCTTCCAGGATGACAAGTGAAAGGATGCCGCAACGGCGGAAAAAAATTGCGACCATGGCTTTTCCATCAAGTTTCTTCGAGAATGCGCTCTCGGAGAAACTTGATGGGATCGTCCTTGTCTTCGGCTCCGCTGCATGATCTGGTTTTTAGTTTCAGGGCCGTAAAAGTATATCTAGGTTTCATCACCTGTCAGTATTTTGGTGACTGTATCTGACGTTTCGCCATTAAATTTCTTTAGCATAAACTTGCAAAAATTCACACGGTCTTCCATTGGTTCAGCTGCAACTGATGAGGTACACAACGTGCAAGTAGCTTCCTCATATGCAGGTGTTCATGCAAGATAGTAATGACTGACCCCCATTAGAGATGTTGAGGTTGCCTTCTAGCTCTCCGGTACTTATCCGTTGATCTTCGTCAAGCCAGGGCCGCACCAATCTTCTCTGGAATCCCCATGGCCTTCACGTAGATCGTCATCAAGATTGAAGCACCCAGATCGGAAGCGCTGATACCACTTGTAACAGTAGTCTGAAATTGGGCTTGCTCGCAAACTGCTCGTTGGAGAGTTTTGAGACACTGCACCGCTGAATCTGTCAGGCGAATATGCACCGAAATTGCAACACTTTTGTCACGTTCAGTTAAGGACTGTAAGATAGGCTGGATTCATGCACTTGTATAACGATTGTGTCTCTCCATGATGCGGAGACAGATTACCTTCCTGTGAGCATCAGAGACCTCAACCGATCTTTATTTTCTTACAGAAACTTCTTTATAACTTTTTCTTTTCCTCGTGTATCAAATTCTGTTCACTTCTTTTTTATAAGATGTATTGAAATCTTGATGTTTATAAATTTGCTATATCATTGGCCGAGAACAACATTTTTTTTTCTGTCTCTAATTTTGCATATCTTGAAACTTTAATACTACACAATATAATGTTCCATTTATCCTACTTCTATCTTTAGTGAAGTCTATTTTCACTCTGCTTCACTATTGATTCCGCTAAAGCAAAAAGCAATTCGTTCTATCTACTCTCCTAAATAAATTTACTAGATCCTAAATACGTGCTTACAATTTATATACATAACGTTATAATTAAGTTGATAACATTATGTATATAAATTGTAAGCACGTATTTAGGATCCAGTGAATTTATTTAGAAGATTAGAATTTTGTTAAAATGAGTACTTAAACGCATTTTAACAAAATTTAACTTCGTTAAAACAAATTGATCGCCTTATATAGTTGATTGATGTATAATTGATACAGATAATAGCTTATAATGTATTCTTAATGTGATTTTCATGTAGTTCACGTAATTAAAATAAACTACTACTAATTCTTTTTGTGATAAATTATATTGATTAAAATTTAAAATTGGCCGACGATATTTATATAAAAATATAATGAAGATACAAAAAGTCTTCATCAGTCCTTCGTTTACAATCACCAACGACAATCCAAAAACAAAACTGGAGCGACGGACTGGTGAAGAATTTTGTATCTTCAATATACAGGTATTTTTAAATTAATGTATATTTACATAAATGAGCAAACTAAACTTATTTTGTCTATTTATTTTCTACATTTTGTGAAAACTCAAAAAGGGAAGTGGAATAGATAATTTTATCATTTCATAAGAAACGAATAAATTTATCAATGAAGTGATAAATGTAATATAAACACAGAAGGATTTAAAAAAAAAAATTCTAGAAGTGAAAAGACATGGAAAAATTTTATTTTAGACAGGAATATTTTATATATAAGGCATTGATACTATTAAATTTTAGGGATCATAGGTCCATGACTGATAATCCCAAAAATTATCAACATCAAAGGAGAAGATAGAGGGTAAGGGTTATATCTTAAGTGGAGTCAGATTAAATAAAAGTTTTACTCGCTATTGGTATTACATTTTTTTTTTTAAACCTTACTTCTACCCCAAAATAAGATTGTCTTTTTATAATATTTTTAAAAATCTTATAATACCATTCTTACTATAATGGATAGTTCAAAGTTAAAACCATGTATGGAGCTATTCTCTTACTGTTTCTTTTCTATAATCATCCATTTCTAAACTTAGATGCTCTTGTTAAAAAAAGAATATTTATCGGCTTTTCCTCTTAGGGTGCCGGGAAAGTCATGTAAGATCCCTTTATATATATATAAACCATTATTAAAAATGTTTTAAATTCCTATCACAGGTTAAGTAAAGATATAACTGATTCAGAAATTCTTAATTTTACGATTTATCGTATTCATATTCTTATTGTAATTTTTCAATATTACTGAACATGTTATTTTAAAAATTTTATTGAAAAAAAATCCAATAAAACTAAACTAATTTTTAAAATTTTTATTATTATTCAAAGTATAATTGCGTATGATTTACTTTATTTTATGTCAATGTGATGAATGGTTTTTTTTTCTTTTTGTGATTTCAAAACTAATTTCATAAAAAAAATAACAAAATCAGAAAATTTATTGTAAAAATTTCTAAAATGTTTAACTTTTTCCCTCTTGTTGAATTGATAACTACAGAATTTTTAATTAAAAAATTTAATTAAAATTCGTAAGTTATAAAACATTATTGAATTATTTATAACTTAATTAAAACGATTAATATTTACATAGTTTTTAAATAAATTTAATATAGAAAATAAGTCTAGTAATTTGCTGAATATACTTCAATTTTTTTTAAAGCATAACTGGCAGATTTTAAAGACATTTTTGATATATAAACAATTGATTCATTTATTAAATTTCATCAAAACTCATCGAATAATTGCGTTACTTGAACTCCGCTTGAACATTAATACAGTGCATTTTCGTTAATCCGGCAAATGCGGGAATGATGTCGGATTACCAAAAATCCAATATCAGGAGTTTTTATATTCTTACAAAATTCAACGAGTCCGAACGCTGCAGACTTTGCTACACGTTTGATACATTACACACTGCTATATGCTTCTAATTTCTTTACGCACGATTTTCTATCAATCTGAAGATGATACGCACAAGTAAACTCTGTTAAGATTGATTAAATTGATTAAAAAACCTGGGAAAAACATTAATAAACGCTCTATTGCGCAAAATCAACATTTTTAATGATTCGTGAGCATATAATAATTTTCCAAATATGTACCCATATACAGTACATACAATTCGCAAAAGCTACAGATGTTCAAAGTGTGAGAAACCTGTCCTTGCATTGGTCTATGGGAAGAAAAATACATCAGCACACGTCACATTTAGTAGTTATGTTACTGAACCACAACGTATGTGCTCAATATTCATTCATCACGAGACTACGATAGTTTAGTCAATACACTGCCTGAGAGTGCTAAATTACCGGACATTAAATGTTTTAAGTATTGATAAAAGAATATCTTTAAAGATGTCAGCATTACAAATCAAAAAAACTTATTTAATTATACTTATAACATTGATATATAAATTATAATTCTGTTTATTTAATAGAATGATTTACATTATTTCCAGATTTGAAGTGATTCCATCCAATTCGACAATAGAACAAACCATTTATGTGCCTTCAGATCTGACATATTTTTTATTCGAGATTCCGTCCTCGAATTTTCACGAATGTAATTTTGTAAATGTTAAAACTTTCTTTTCAAACAATGAATATGAAAACGATGCCAAATTTGATGATAAAGTTCGTAGAGCAATCGAAACTTTAAAAGTCATATTAAAACCTTTTTACATTTCATTTTGGATAGGTAGTGGGACTTTATTGGGTAAGTTTTTATCAATTTAATAATTTTATAAATGATAAATTATTGAAAATATTTCTCAGATAATAATATATGTTTTAAACTTAGGTTGGTATCGTCAATGCGGTGTTATCCCATATACAAGTGATGTGGATTTTGCCATTTGGATCAGAGATTTTGATACTGATTTAGATAAATATATGAAAAAGCAGAAATTTATGAAATTGAAATACGTTTTTGGAGTGGTAAATATTCAGTTCATTCTGATGAATCTTTAATGATATACGGGGTAATTCGAAAATCTTCATACACAAGTAAATAGCTCATTTTATTATGCAGTCATATTAAGTCACAAATTATGTACTACATGGATGGAATTTAACTGAATGCATCTCTGTATGCATTCTTCTTACTCATGGCAAAAGCATATTAACACATTTTGTGTACACATCATAAATGTGTTTCTTCAGATCATTAATCAAGTTTTGTATGAAGATTTTTGACTCACCCTATACTTTTTAACATGCTTTTTCTGTTCTCTTTCCAGAGATAATAAATTAAAATAAATTTAAAATACATAACTTGAATAATTTTATTGTTTAACTTTTAATAACTTAAAAATTATTTTATTTCAGCCAGAGGAAAGTTACCAATATGCTTTCTATTTATCTAAACTAAGAATAGATCTATTTTTCACTTATAAAGGACCTTATAATTATTGGTATGGAGGACATATGCCGAGTTCAAAAAAATATTTTCAGTAAGTTTAGAATAATAATAATAATAATAGAAATTCATTACAAATATTAGTTTCATTAATAAAAAATAAATACTTTTTTAGCTATATTTATCCAAAATTCGTCCTTTGCTCAGCGGAATTATTAAAACAAAAAATCTTAATTCCTTGTACAACTGAAGAAATAATTATTGCAGAATATGGATATAGTTGGATGAAACCAATTAAACGATGGAATTATGATGAATCGGCGTACAATATAGGCCCAAAACTCCACTGGCCCGATAAATATAATCATACATTTATAGTGTATTGAAAATGGTATCTGATAGCATGGAAATGAACTGTGTTCAATGAAAAGTTTCAAGACTTTTAATTCAACTTTATCTGTGATTTGAATTTTTATTTTATTGTCTACAAGCAGTTACGACGTTAAATAATTTATTAAACGAAAGTCGATCTTAATTTTTTACAAACTATATTTTCGTGTGTATATTTTGAAATGGAGATTATGGGAAAGAATTCTATATTTAAGAAAAATACAATTATTATTATTTATTTTATAAAAGTTGTATTTATATTTAAATGAAAATTAAATTAGGGATTTCGTTTGTATATAATTTTACATCATCAACTTTATAGTTTAAAATAAACTATAAAGAATCAAACTCTATAGTCCAAAAAAATTCTAGTCCATTAAGTCTTAAATGTTTTTCATTTACAAATTTTGATTATTGTAATATGAAATTTTAATATTAAAAATGTAATTATTTTAATTAAAGCTTTAAAAAAATTATTTATTGGACATTTAACGTTTGATAATTTTATCCAAATTTTATTCTACTCAATATTTAAACATTTGTCTTCAAATATTAAATTAAAACTTTACTCGAATATTCAAAAAAAATTGAACGTGTTTTGTATTTTTAAAACGAAAACAACGATATAAAATATTTATTTATAAACGAATTTTTAAAAAATGTACAAGTTATAAATATTTAAACATTTGTTTTGCTAAATAAAAAAAAAATAATAATTTTTTTCTCAAAATATTTTTCACAAATAACATTTAAATCTTATTTAACTTTTTAAAATTTTATTTATTCTAGCAGTCTAAACTTGTTGTTAGCAACAAAATAAATTAAATAAACTTGAACATGATTTAAAAAAAAATATGATAAAAACAAGATTAAATGTTAATATTTCGTGCTTTCATCTGTCAAACTTGATAACGTAGACAATACATAATTTAAGAATAATATATTCCTATTTTCAAAATTAATTTTAAAACATTTTAAAGATAGTTTTATTTTAGGAATTCACATTGAATTTTTTATATATTTTTATTTATTATTGTAGGTTTCTATTTATCATTAAAGAATATTTAAAGAAATATTTGAAATAGGAAAAAGAGAATAATTCCTTTTTAAAATTCTTTTCATGTAACTCGTAATTGTAATCATATAAACACCAAAAATGTATTTATTTAAATTTATTAATTAAATGTATATAGTGCTGTATTATTTAAAGTATAACAATATTCAAATATGTTATTTTTATACTAATTTTTACATCAAAAAATTTTATTGCTATAATAATAATAATAATAATAAATAAATTGTTCCGTAGTTATTTGCGGAATGTAAAATATAAGCTATATAATAAAGTTTTAAAGTTAATAAGAAATTCCAATTTAAAAGTATTTAAATCTATTAGTTTCATTTCTTCATATCTTTATAATTTAGTCATTCATACATTTTATAGTACACTATTAAAATACATAAAATATGAGCAAATGCTTCGAATAAAAATAAAAAAAATAAAAAAACATTACCATCAATAAAATCCAAACGCAATGCTTAATAAATTTCATTATCTTTGATAAGAAATGAATGGAAAATAATTACAAAATACGATAATTACAAAATTTTAACTGTAAATTTAATGCATTTCCAAATGCTTAATATTTTCGATTATTTTATCTTTCGAAATTTATGATTTTACAATTTTAATGCGGATTATCATTAAAATTTTAACGAGAACTTCCATTAAATATAAAATGATTTCGTAATTATGTAGTAAAGCCTTAAGAAACATCAAAAATTAATTTAATCTAAATTAACGGTAATTTCTTTGAATAAATTTCGTAATAATTGCGATGTAAACTTTCTTTTTTCGCGTACGTTCTTTGTGTGCTCTAAAACTGTCCTATGTGCTTTAAACTTATATTTTAACTGTAAAAAGAATTTATTTGTAGATATATTATTAAAAAATTAGTTATTAAAACATTATTTTAATTTATTCCTTTCAACAATGTATATCAAAGTACAGAAATTTTTAATATAAGCATCTTCACCTGTGATGGATTTTCCATTCGGCCTATGTGGGCCTTATCTAGTGGGCACAAACGCTCCCACTAGATCGGGTTTAGGGGTTCAAGAGTTTGAAGAACGCAAAAATTCAAAATAATAATTATAAAATAATTTAAAAAAACTTGCGCAGAAAAATTCATAGAGGAAATAGTGCAAATTAAAAGCTTAATTAAGAATTACTGTATATGAATACATGTATATTTTCATGAACGGAATGGTAGTACTAATGACGGATTTTTTATAGCACTGCCTTTTGCCCTTTCGCTATTTCAAAATCTAAAAATGTCCAGAACGAGTTGCGTAACTTTTCAAGCAGTTATGGGATTTTATTTAGAGAATAACTGTTATAATTTTAATGTCAATATAATAAATAAAATTATGTGTGGCGCCATCTGTTATAAGATTTTGTTATAAAAACTTTCTATATTTTTAAGTAGCAGACCCCGCCACGCGTTGTTGTGGCTCAAAGTGTATCTATTATAAATTTATAACACTTCCCCGTGGGGGGGATTTTTCCCAAAATTTCTTCTTAGTGTACATTATTCTGTCGACATACCCTATTAAAACGCAAAAAACCGCATCTAAAATAGTATAAATAGAAGCAGAGTTCTTTACGGTAAGCCTTAATCCTAACCATCTCCCTTCAGTGGGGGAATTTCGACACGTATATTATATAAAAACACGTGCGTATTCGAATGCAGCGTTGTGTCAAAATTTCAAAGGAATCGGTAGGAACAAACGAACATTACATTTTTATTTATATAAAGAGATAGAAGATGATCTGCTTTAACAGAAAAGCATAATGCCTAATAGAAAAGCAAACTTAGGGCGTCGTACTCGTAGCGCCGTCTGTTGGACATAAAAGCCTTAACCATAGATGCTATCATTTAATTTATATGAATGTTTAACGGAATAATATACAGCCTATGTCCACCCTGAGGTTACATTCTAAATATTGGTAAAAGAATTTTTGAAATCGGATGAGTAGTTTCGGAGATTACCTGCTGCAAAGAAACATACATACATACATACATACATACATACATACAAACATTACCGCTTTATAATATTAGTATAGATTATCATCAAATGACAAAAAGCTTAATTTTGAGGATATACACGAGTTTCATAAAAATTGTAAATGCTAACAACGTATAACATCTTCATTAAGTCCAACCCTATTGGAGATACACACGAACCCCTTTATCTCCCCACCCCTTGACCTTTACTCACCAAAATTTAATAATAGCATCAATTATAATCCCCATAAATTCTGTATGTATTGAAAACAATCCGATACATACAGAAATCCCCGAATTAAGCAGGTAGTAAAGGAAAGTAAAAATAAATTAAGCAGGTAGCTATTGATAAAATATCCTGTACTTTGTTTAGACACAGTAAAATATACGAGTTATATATAAACAAACAAAATATAAAAGCTACTTTAGAACGAGGTATATAAATCTTTATATAAAAACAATATCTGAAAATTCTTTTTATTTATAATTCACTTTTAGTGTTTTATTTAATATCATATAATAAAGCGTGTTACATTACCAGTTCTTCGGTCATTCAACATTCTTTAAAATACCATACTGTATATTTATAAAGATAAAGCACTTTAATATATCAAAGTATTTTTTTAACATTTCGTATCTATTCAGTTTTCAAATAATTCATGCTTATTAATGATACTAATCATTGATGAAAGTTGTAAATTATTTGTAATTTATTTTTAAAAGTAATTATATTTAATTATTAAACAATAAACTGGAAGTATAGATTTATATAGGCTTACACAAAGATAAATTAATATCATATTAATTTTTACCTCACTCCCCGATTTATAAATTTTACGATAATTTATTTAATCCATGAAGAAAGAGATTAAACATATGTATTACTTCTTATAATAAATGCATTAGAAGTTAATATCAGCGCACATTTGTTCGTAATGAATATTTAGTAATAGGCTATAATTCTCAACAAAGTAAATAAAATTTAGACTTGTTTTTCATTATTCTCTAGAGATCTTTATTTCCCCACTTTAAAAAGTCGAAGACTAAACATTTTCAGGGTTGTTTTTCTGTATGTAGGGATGGATGTTAGTGTGTGTGTGTATGTGTGTATATGTGTGGGGGGCACGATTTTTCTCATCCTCTTTGAAGCTTAATAACTCCTGTGCTTTTTGTCGAAAATTTTTGAACTTTTTAAGAGAGATATGTGTATTAGGGGAATTGATGCTATTAAATTTTGATTATTAAAGGTCGAGTGGTGGGGGGATAAAGAGGATCGTGTCATGTTTCGAGTAGGGTCGGACTTAATGACGATTTTACTCGTTATTAGCATTTACAATTTTTTTTATAAAACCCATCCTTACCCTCAAAATCACGTTTTTTTTGCCATTTTTATAACATTTAAAAAATATAAAAAGTTTTTTAAATAAAATATCATAACAGATGTCGCCATCAAATATTGCCGGGATTCGTTGCTGGATTTTTTAATTTGTATTTAGTACCGGTAAAGTAGCCCGTTTACTCCTGTAAACGTTTGGCATTAGTATAATTATCGGGCTTTGAGATGTTTATATATGTTTATATTTTCTTCTACAATAGAATATGTAGTTAAATACATATTTTGTTATATTATAAAAAATAAAGTCATTATGAAGTTCTCTTGTAATCTAAATTTTAGATTGAGAATTAAACTAGGCTATTAAATCTATTATTCACAGAATTACTATATTATGTATTATACATTTTCACGACTATTACATCTGTAGACTAGTTACATATTAAAATATTTAAACTTAGTATTATTATTTTTGTTGAAATAGAATAAATTACATAAAACATCAATAATTTAAGATACATTTAAGATTTTCATTTCCTTGTCGTTAAAAATATAGATACATTAATGATTGAGATATTCAATTTAATTTAATAAACCGATGGTCTCTCTCTTATAANATATGAATTTATATATGTAGGACTATATATACATAAAACTCTGCCTAATTTTATAATAACTTTCTATATTTCAAGTTTTAAAAATAAATAAACATTTATATATAAAAAATGATTTTATTTAAAAACTTAATGTGTATTTCAGTCAACAGATGGCGGAATGAATCCATTTGTAAACAATTACAGTATTATTTTCAAAAAAATTTGAATAAAAAATATTTATTCTCTTTTATTTGCAATATTTATTATTAAATATATATATTATACGCCCACATTAATTAAAGTTATATCTAAATTATAACTAGACTATTTCGACATATATAAATATATATTAATTTCTAAGAAGAGAATTGAATAATCAAATATCTAAAAAAATGAGCATAATAAAATTGAAATTAA